CATGTAACATAGGTGAAACACTGCACCCCACCTGTGGTTTTCCACCTTCACTGGTCCCTCATTTTCAGAGCAAACACAGCTCCCAGCAAGATGTCGCTTCAAAGAGCTTGGAAGCCACTGTGTCCTACAGGATACTGTCTGCCAAGGCTGGACTCAGGTGTAAAAGCAAAGAACTGAAGTGTGTGGAGGATGAACAGAACTAGTAGATTATGTATGCTTTGACCCCAAGGCAAAAGATAATTTTTCTGAAATGTAATGCCTGAATTTTGGTTCAAATATAGTTTCTTCTAGATGTGATTTTTGAGAGTCCAGCAATATCCTGAAATATATGGAGCAAAGGATAAAAGAGATCACGTTCTCTTCTATAAAACAATAAGGAAGTAGACCTCTAACGGATCCTTGACATACAATGCTAGAGACATAACTCGAGTTACTCTTTTATACTGGTTATAGGGAAGCAACAGTTGTATGGACTACATATGGACCCAGGGTTTGCTCCCCGACTCCATCAGGAAATGCCCCTCCGCTCTGCCAAATTGCAGCAGCTCAAGAGCTGTGCTATCACTGACACTGCGAGCTTTTATTCTTGTTAAAGGGACAGAATGTTGACAAATGAAAACGAATCCTCTCACAAGCAAATTTAATGTCTGTGTTTACAGCAAGCAGTTCTCCAGTGCTGATTAGGACACGGCTCCATCTGTCTATGGCTGGTCACTCCACTGTATTTTGTGGAAGGCCTGGGTAATTTAAAGGAAGATCTAGATTTGAAAGCAAACTACAATTTCCTCCTTGTCCTGATTTTTCTCTGTCTATAAACAGTATTTCTATTATTTTGATTCCCTGATTCCCACAAAGCAGAGATCAGAAGGCTGTTGGGGTTTTTAATGAATATGTAGTTGACACACTTTAAAATTATCTAAGGTGGGATTACTGGTGTTGTGGTTGGTTTTGGTTTTGTTTTTTTTTTTTTTTTAAATTTCTTCTCTTTATCTGTTAAAAGACTTTGTACACATTGGCTTGTAGTTCATTCTGAAGTGATCCCACTGTGGAGCACGCATAATGAATTGCACTCACTGGGTTGAAACAATAATTTTAAAGTGAGGAAAAATATATAATCTCTTTCTGTTTGTATTCTCCTCGGTAAATAATGATGGTTAGACTTGTTTTAAAGTATGAATATAAAACCACTTCCACAGGTGTTACTGTAGTAGCAAAATAACTTCAGCAGATAGGAAGTAATTTGTTTAGAGGGATGTAACAGGACACAGGAAAACTAAAAAATATAGAGATTTATGTGCCCATGCTCTTAGGTTTTTGCTAAATGTAGAACAGGCAATATTGAAATATGTACCCATGCACCTGTATTGGGTTTTTTTGTAAATCCAGTAATGCTAACTGTTCTTGTGCACAGCACTGTTTTCTTTGTGAAGCTCTTCACAGCAGCTCTCAACTCCCAGTTCAGTGCTTTAATAACAATACCATCTGGCTGAGGTTCTCAGACTTGCCTCTGGGGGTTGAAAGCCCATTTTTCCATTATAATTAATGAGATTTGGGTGTCCAAAACCCATGGGCAGCTTTGAATACATCACCTGCATCTTCTTGGATTCATAAGTGCTTTGAGACTTTCAGAAGAAAAAGCTGTTAAGCTGACCTGAGATGATAGGATGCTATGGAGTCTTAACACTTGACACACTAGTTTCTGTGTGTGGCCAAGGCTTCCTTTATTGTGTCTGAAAGGGAATGTTGCTGGCTTGGTTAAGAATGAGGGCCTTGTCAAGTAAATTATATTTTTTATTCTTAAAACAGTTGATGAGAAGATGTTATTTTTTGTTGTTCAATATAAATGCAACATTTTTAATGTCTTACATTAGAGCAAAGTTTGATATAAAAGTACATAAAATTTTGGCAGCTGTCAGTAGCAGCAGTTACCTTGGTATGACAAATATGTAATAATGTGCTTCAAGATGCTATGGACCAAGGATGGTCAGCCTTAATGTCAGATTCCAAAATCTTCATGTGATTCCAATCAAAAAAAACCCCTTCCATATTCACAGAAGAGATGAGGAAAGAGGGCAGGCAGTTGCTCATAGTCATCTTGCAGGCTGGATTTCAGCTGCGAGGGCAGTCCTTAGCTGTGCTTTCTGCATCATTTCTTCTGGCAGCTGAGAGCTTGGAGGCTCCCACAGCTGGAATAGCTGGACACAGCTGTGCTGGGAAGTCACATTTGAATTGCACATGGCTCAAGAGCCACCCTCTGGTCACTTCGTTCTTAAGCAAACTGCCAAATAAATACCTCAAGAACAGAAAAGTGCACTAAAGCATTTCTATCCTGTGGATACCTGTCTAATGGCAGATATATTTCATGAGCATCTGCTAAGAGGATCTTCAGCATTTATTATGAATCTTTCCTCCATGAAGACTGTGTAAAATTGGAGGTTTGTAAGACAGAATTAAAAATGCTTTCTATCCACTGCAGGAGGATCTTTTAATCAGAGGTACAATAGATGGGCTCACTAAAATAGTAAACGATATAAAAAGAAAGTGGCTTCATACAGAGGACAGTCATTTACAGTGAAATAGAAAAGAAAAAATAAGTAGTGAGACAGTTCAAATAATATTGTTTGGGATATTCGATTTGGGTGTGTTTATATAATCTATTTATATAAGAATCCAGAGTAAAATCTCTCCACTCAGTTTTAAGAGTCTTGTTCAGTTTTATGTTGGTTTGGACTTCTGACAAAGGTTCCTTCTGTATGCTTTACAGGCAAAACATAAGTTTGTTCTTTTAGAAAACTCATAGACTATCAGAATTTTCATGCAATAATCTTCTGGCATGAAACATGATACCTCAACTATGATTCAGTTATTAGATTTGTAAACTGCATATGGGAGGATGTGGTTTCATGCTCAGTGTAAGCAGATACATATCTTGTACCCCTCTCAAAACAAAAAAATTAACTGCAGGTTCTCAGTTTTCCCTTGTGCCAGTGTTACCAGAGAGCAGACCTGGCTGAAGACTAACCTTCATTTGGAAAAAATAAAAAAAAAAACCAAACCAACAAACAAACCCACAAATTTTTAGCAAGATCAATTTGCTTGTCTGAGCCAACACAATGGAAGAATGGAAACACAAGTCTGAGAGCAGAGCAGGAAACACTTTTCTGGCTTCTGTGTGGTCTCACATCAGCTTATGCTCCTTGTGTCATCACACTTGATAAGAACCTATGCAGAAAACATACCGGCAGTTTAGGAGATCAGAAGCAGCTGGCTACATGCCAGCATATCATAATTGTTAATAAATGATGTTGTTGGCTTTTGGGTTTGGGGTTTTTTTTGATGTGTTTTTGAGGCAGTGAGTTTTATTAAAGACTGCTAGATCTATGTTCTACAATGACATAGGACATTTAGGCTAAATCAGAGAAATAATTACCTATGCAAGTATGTGCAGGAATTTCTCTATTAGTGAAACAGAAGGAAATCCTGACAGACCTAGATGAGAGGGAAGAAAGGACAACAGTTTTCCCAGGAATAAGACACATGTTTCAGAATAAATGCTATGTGTAAAGGATATGACAGCAGACTCAGCAGGATATCAGAAGATATGGATATGGTAATATCTGCATTATTATTTGTTACACATTTCAAACACTGCAGACTGGCCTCTGGAACAGTTTACTAGCTGGGCTCAGCAAATCACTTCTGCCCTTGTTTACTGGTCTAAGTAAGCAAAAAGGGAGTAATACTGTAATTCAAGGAATTACAGGGAATTCATTACAGAGTGTGTGCACCATATAGCCAGTTGTTAAATGATATAAACATTAAAAAGGCAAGACCCCACTTACGCTTCTAGAAGGGTAGAACCTTTGTATTAAAGTGAAAAATAATGTTACCCAATTTGAGAGCAATAATCCAAGAGGGGATTGTTGATTCATGTTTACTGTAAGAAAACCATCGTGAGCTACTGCAGGCTTCTATTTATTTTTCATGTTTCCACCACCGCCCCCCCAACACAGTAGCTGAACTGTGACTGAAATATTGTTTTTCCATCCCCCAGATGGCAGTGCTGCCTTCCAAGATAATAACACTCTAGCTCTGGGAGAGAAATGCCTTCTGGTCTCTGGCTGACTTATGTGCCATGTTTCTTTGTTGCAGTGGAAATATGCCACAAATTCTCATGTAACAAGACTAGGGTAATCAGGATAAGTTTGCTCGTCCAAGTCTGACACAGCAGCCATCTTCTGTTAGAGGCACCCACCAGATCACAGCCCATTCATAAGCAACAACACTGCAAATGCATGTTGGAATGTCTACTGAACTTTACTCTAAATGTGCAGTTTCTGATATCTTTGAGATGGACTAGAGAATAAATAAGATGGCCAATTTGGCTCTTAGAGGAGCTGCAAAAGAAGACTGTGTGTGCTAATCTTGATCTACAAGCCTTTGGCATCAGACCTAATCCTGTTTCCTTTTTCCTTATGAACACGACCCTTGTGGTCCTCAGCAGGGTAGGTGCTGAGTGGTACTGCAGATACTTCATTAGGCTGTTAAATCTCACTGGCTTGCAGGATGAGGTACTCACTTGGTCCCCCTGTGCCTTTGAGCATTTGCATGGTCCCTTTGGATACCTAAGTACTGAACTCAGTTCTTCCTCCCTGGGCTGCCCCCATTGAGGTGTAATAAGGCACCCTTAGTGGGCAATCTTTAATGTTAATTAATTAATCCTAGACATAAAATAAAGGGTGTAATGGAATAAAAGAAACCTGTGTGGGGATGGCTGCCAGCTCTAGTGGCACACTGAGGAGGGAGCAAGGAGCTCTCAACCCCTTGAGAGGAACAAGGAGATTCAGCCCAGTTGTTACAGAAAGTGAAGCTTTTTAGCGATTGAAAATCCAACTGAGTGGTCTCGTATTTTGGAAATTACGAAAAAGGTTCTTCCAGGTTGGGAGGGTATGATCTTTTTCAAGGTTCTTCACTTTCATTACAGCATTTTTTGTGTCTAGCAGGCAAGAAGCATGAAAGGGAGTTTGCGGCAGTATTTGCATCTTGTTCCTTTTCTTCACTGGAGATATTTGTGTGTGTTGAGCCAGTTCTAGAAATTTCTGCTACTTCTTGAAGATCCTAAATCACAGGTAACAAAAGAATACTCTGAAAGATAAGCCTCTGACCCTCTCCCCTGGCAAATCACAAAACCCCATTTTATAATTTACAGTTCAGTGAGGAAAGGCTTTCTTTCCTCTTTTCCTATCCACATGGTCACAGAACCAGTGAGGAAAGGTTAAATACAGGCAGATCCAGCATGTGAATTGTCCTTCTCCTGACAAGCCCAGGGAATGCAAAGGCCCAGGGCAGGGAGAATGAGGTAACTCCTGGGGCCAAAGGTGGGTAGGGAGGAAGGAGGGCAGGACAGCAGTAACCACAAAGAGTCTGCAGTAAAGACCTCATCCCCAATCTTTTCTGGAGGTGGTGCTGCTCTTTAATTGGACCAAGTGGTAAATATAACCTGGCTTCCCATTTAATAGGATAAGAGAAATGTAGATTTAGTTCAGAGTAGCTACTGTGTTGCTAACTGTGCTTGGATAACAGCTTCCATTCTCAAGCCCTCTTTTATCCTCTTTATTCCATTTGCTTTTCTACCTGAAAAAAAAAAAAAATCCCCTTTTCAGGAGGGAAATGTTTATTCTCCCTTTTACAGGCTTCTCTAATTCTCCCCCCTCCTCACCCCAAATTCCTGTTATGCCCAGAGTCATGATTTCCAACCCCTCACCTTTATGATCACCTCTAATTACTGTCCCTTCCTTCCCTTCCCTCTGTAGAGAAGCTTGTGGAAAAATCTGAAAAGCTTAAAGCCAAAAAACTTAAAATCAAACCCATAAACAATAATTCTTTTTTTGTAGTGGGAGCACTCAGACCTCTAGTTTACTGACATGTCCAAGACCTCCTTATCACTCCAACATACACAGTCTAACAAATAAACATATTTGTAGATAAAAAGTAATAGAAATGCTATTTCAAACAGAGGAGAAGTAGCTGTCCTTCAAAATGGGGTCTGGATTTTACACTATTTTCTCAATCAAAAGCACTCTCCTTCTCAAACACATTTGGTCTAAAAGCCATATTATCAAACCTCTAAAGTGTCTCTTTTTCCCCTTAAATCTGCATACAGGGAAGAGGGGGGAGGAACTCAGCCATCTCAGCCACTTAAAGACACATCTGCTCATCCCCAGCATTTGATTTCAGCTGTCACCAGCTCACCTGAAATGATTATATGGGAAACCAACCTTATCAACACCAGTTTCCCATTTCCAGTGACTACAGCACTTTGCAATTCTGATATATTTTGCCTGCAGAATATGGCAGGTTGAAATATAATCATGGTTTATTTTTTAAATAAGCAGATTGCTCAGTCCAAAAAATCCCAACACACACACACACAAAATTTCTGCTGCTTCAGAATAAAGATTCTTCCATCTTTTAGAATAAGTTTGCTGCCAAACTGATGATTTTTCCATGGCTAGAACATATTTTTAATTTAAAAGTTAAATATGTAACGTTTACTGAAAACAGAGATATTTTATCTGAAATTAAAGAACCCAGAACAGTCTTTTTCCCTCTAAATAGAAGAAAAAGTTTGCAACAGATTTTTATTATTTCCTTTATATTTGTACTGAAAAATTATGTTTGACACAACTTGAAGATATAATCTCCCTCATATTTCCAGTGTATTAAATTGGAAGACAGTAGCAAAACTTGTTGCTATGGTTGGATTAAATCACCCTGACATTAATATTACACATCCTTCAATATTAATAGACAATGTAAAAAAAACCCAAACCTTTTGGTATGTTCTACTTAAGACTGAGGTGGTACAACACCTTTTGAAATACATTTGTCCCTGGGATATTTGCAGGGCACATGTGGGTGAAGAGATACGGTTAAGGATTTCTCCTTCTTTTGTAGGGAAACACGTGTATCTCTCTGCCTTTGTGTGAAAAAGGCAGGAGTAACATTAGAGAGTCTAAGAAAAAGAAGTAGTTAGAAGAAAACTGAAGAGCAAGTGTTTTAGAAGTGAGAACTAAGCAAAAAGGGGCTGTGAACTTCCTCATGACCAAGTTTCATTCTTGTTTTGGCCTGGGAACATTATTTGGAAATATAAAGGTTGCATAGGAGAGATGTCGGTCTAATTTATATTGCCTTTGAACCTAAAATCCTCTATCTAACTGCTTGGGTCAAAAAGGGCAGCCATGTTTTACAGCTTTTGCTGGCAGAACTTGGTTAAATATCTGTCTGCTGACAAATCAGTATTTTTGAAAACAGAGGTGACTCAGGGACAGGTGGGGCAGGAAGGCTGTGCACCTCAATAGCTGGCAGTCACTTTACTCTCCTAATCTTCACAGGGAAGGTAAACTTATAAGGAACATTTGTTTTGATTCGGTGGCTTGTGTTATAAATATGTATGCTATAAGGACAAAGGGTGATAGCAGATGCTCCTTATCTGATTTTCCTGGTTAGAGAAAGTGGGAATTTGTTGCAGGTCTTCTTCCATAGCTGGGCGTAACTGGGAGCCCTCCTGCTCCTTGTTTTGTCTTTCTGCCATTGAACTATGCAGCTGGGGGCTAAGTTTTATTCCAACCATTTTGATTTCAGTGTTCATGAAGACTGCTAATAAACATGAACCACCACAGTGGTGGTGTTTATTAGCAGTGTTTCAGAAAGACCTCACTCTGTCTTGCACAGTGACGAATTTTGTTTTCTTTACTCATGAAAAATATCTGATTGAGCCAGTGAGCAACAGCACTGATTTTGCCAGGTGAGCTGGAGGGGACCATCCCTTGGCACTAACAAGGACAAACCAGCCTGGTCCCATGTGATCCCTAACAAAGAGCAGGGTTGCACATGGATCCACATTGCATTTCAGCCAGATATTGTCAATTCCCATTAATTAATTGTTTATCTACAATTACTATCCAGAATATTCAATCTGAACCAGATTCTGACATTTTGAAGGCTTAATTACTAGTCTAAGAGGGAAGCCTACATTAATTGTCAGAAGGATAGTGTGACTATTATCAAAGTAACTGCTGGCAACATACCCAGATGTATGTTATCAGCAAGGGAGAAAGACTGCCAACTTGATGCTGAAGAGAGTTTGTACTCAGAGTAGGTTTTTGATTATGGAAGTTAAATCAAAATGCAGAGGTTATTTCCAAACAGAATTATTGTGAAGAGATAGTGAAAAGGAAGGTGAAACAGTGAGAATGAGAAGGAAAAAGCTACATGGGAAATTTTTCCCTGGACACATAATTTGGTCGGAAGGAAATAGAGGGTAGGAAACAGAGAAGAAGAGAAGTTGTCTTTTAATGCACTGGAGACTGGAAACAGGTTGTTGGGAATGATGCAGGAGTACTCCTACTGATTCTAAAATTTCTCAGGGGCTTGATTAGTGTAGCTTGCTTGGGTTTAAAGAGACAGACTCATTTGTGGGAAGGAAAGAATATTTCCATTGGGTAGATATTTGAGACCTGGTTTAGTTCTATTTTTCTTGCCCAGTTTCATGGGGCATTTCCACAGATGGTCCAGGAATTTAACTTCACAGATTTCTTCCTATTGTAGAGACCCTTGGTCTCTTCTGCTTTTTTTTTTTGTGACACATTGTAATAATGTGCTTTTAATGTTTAACAACAGACTGATGGTATTCAGGGGTATTTGGTATAGATGTTTATGTAGTCCCACAGACCTTTCTCAACTAAACTTTTTGTGTTTGCCTATATCAGTAAGAGAGATAAGCCTGTTGGAGAAAAGAACTACTTAATGACACCTAATGCCATCATACAGGGAAAAGTTTGCTATGAAATCACATGCCAGCTTGTAGCCTGCTCCCTGTGAAGCATTAGACATGCCCTTGGGCAGAGCTCCTACACTCAGGCCTTCATACCATCCAAACATAGCAAGTATTTATCTCCATTTTCTATGTTCTAGATGAAAGTAAGTAGGCTTAACCAGCTCCCATTCCAGTAAGTGTACTTACTTCCTTAAGAGTTAAAGTTCAACCATCATTTATTGGAGTGATTTAGTCCAAAGGAGGATAAACCTAAGGTAACTTCAAAAATTTTTACATTTTGATACTGAGTACCAAATTTTCTGTTGGGCTATGAGCTATATGATATCTGTTCCTCAGAAATTATCTAATAAACCACCACTAAATATTGTGGAAGAGTAAAATATGTAGATTGCTCTGAAAAGTAATCTGTCAGCTCATTTCTGTAATCTTTGAAATGCTTCTTTCTGGAGTAGGTGCAAGAGGGATCTCTGTGGCACTGGGTATTTCCACACACTGAGGCTGGCTCGGTTTTTTGAAGATGCTTACTCCTCTGGGACATTTCTTTTGATGTACACTCTATGATGCTTTATCCCATTTTGGTAAGATTTTATGATCGACTTGGTAGGAGGTAGTAAAAATGCTTCCCAGAGAAAGTGGTAAAACTTCTTTTTAGAAACCCATGTTTTTTCCCCATCTTGGGAAACTTTTCAAAATCAAGACAGTGGTTACCAAATCCAATTGAAAAAAACAATTTATAGTTCAGATTCATGGGAGCAGCTGCTTGTCTTACAGGTATTGACCATGCAAGATGACAGTATTGATGTTGGATTTAAGTGCTTTTTCTTGGGATTTTCTATGTGGGAATCTATATGACCCTATCTTTGAAACTCTAGTCATACCACCAGGAATTCCTCAGTAACCTCCATTTTATCTTATAGAAGCAAGATCATTTGATCCTCATAGTATTTTGCCGGTAACAAATGTTCTAATTGTCTTTTTCTTCCTTATTCAGGGTCTTGTCTATTAAAAACTCAAGAGCTAGTACAACTTTCTGTTTCCTTAAGTGTTACAGCTTGAGTTTCCCAAAGGTAGTTTTAACTTTCTTGATTGCCTTCCCTACTCTCCAATCTAACACTGAAGTATGATTGCAACTATCAGTTGACCCACTTCTGTGCTCCTAATCTGAAAAATAATCCTAATTTAATTTATAAAAGAATGTTTACTAATTTTTATTGGCACGGGAGATTCAGACTGAAAATTAAGGTTTTTCTGGTGTTGAAATTCACAGTATTTTTTCAGTCATGTTTTGTAATACGTTTCTTCCTTTTTCCATAGTGACTTAGTTAAACACAGTCTATTGTGCACAGTTTCTAGAACATTTTCTCCTTCTGTGTCTGCTGGGGCATCTTTGTTAATGCTCATTATGGGCCCATACTGAACCCTAACAAAGTAAAAGGAAACATTCCCCTTGGAGGAATCTGACTTTGGATCAGTATCCCAAATAATATCAAATTCCAGATTGACTTTAAATGGCTTCTGCTTCCCCAACCCTCCCACACCTTTGCAATACATTGAGGGAAGGAGAAAAGCTGACACTGTTGTAATATCCTTTGCTCATTTAAAAGCAATGCTTTTAGAAGGAAATATATATGATATTCTGTACCAATTTATAATAGCTATGGGTAAAATTAGGCTACATTGTTTATTGTTCTTTACATATATTATCAAATGAAATTTGAATTAACAGACCCATTTGTACAAACATGATTGTTAATATTAATATACTGTGTAAGTCAGCTGGCAAGAGTAGAAACAAACTAATGGGTCTCTTGAACAGAGTATTTCACTGGAGACTGACTGCACAGATGCTGAAAGTACAATCCTGTAGTTAAACCAGTGTGCAGGGAGACTTCTCTTAGAGTTCAGGGGAAATATCGAAGTGCAGATTCCCCACAGTATGTTCTTATTGTCCAAATGTCTATACGCATTGTGTTTACTGAGTAAAAGCACTCTGTGAAGGAAGGAGCTGATGGAAGTAACAACCTTCCCCATTTCCTTCCACAGCTGCCAGACTCATGTTGCAGCTTCAGGATATTCTGGATGGATTTTTCTGTTGAAAAAATAGCCACAGGGAGATTGTTTTTTTATAGGCTCAGGCAGAATCATTAAAACCCAGTTTTTGAACCCTGCCTGTCTGGACAGTGCTCAGGCTGACTTCCACGTGCCTTCGCTGTAAGGGCAGACATCACAAGCAGAAAGACTGCAGGCACATTTATTACCCTCAGATGTGCAAGCTCACAGGGCAAAACCCTGTCCTTAGTTAAGAGGTAAAGCTTTGGACAACTCACTGGGAATGTCTTTAGTAGATTGGAAGGTTTGCTACTTGATTATTCATGTTTCTCAAATATTCCTCTGAAGACATTCAATTCGTGACCTTTCATTATGATGCTGAAAGCCATACTTTTGTGCATTAAGTCCAGATTTCTCTTAATAATTTTCTTCCAGGAAATGAGCTTTTTGGGAAAAGGAAGCCACCCACCATAACTACACATCCTTGTTTGGAATCTACTTCATTATCTCTGATTCTTTCAAAAAAAAAGCATAGTAGTTTTGCTGGCCCATTTCAGAACCAAGCTTAAATTACCTTCCTGAGACAAATCTGTCAGTCTCTTAACCTGAAGAAACTTTGTAGATCAATCAAAAGCTGTCTTTTTATAATAAGGAAAGACAACTTTTGCTGAAATCAAAAAATCCTCTTGGAAATGGGCTTGCTTTGTTTCTGTGAAATGCTTTGCATTTTCTTTCATTTTATCCACTCATCAAGCTTTTCAAATGTAACAGTGGAATAACAATGTTAGAAAAAAACAGTGCAATCACTAAAATGTTATATTCTGCATTGGAATGATAAGAATCCTATTAAAACTCAACATTAAAGCATTGTTTGCTGGATGAAAAAATTATCATGGCTTTGATAAAGAAAAATAAAAACAACCTTGGCTTTTCCAGATTTAATCAAGTAATTTGTGACCCAGTAAGAGCTGTGTACTGCTGAATTATTTTCAGAGCATTTATCACAGGTGTTTCACATGTGTTCAGCACATCCTGATTCTAATCCTCTTAATACACTTAACAATAGTAGGGCAGCTTTTGAGAACAAGCAAACTGGCTTTCCTGGCTATTTTGAACTGTGTTCTTACACAAACATTATTTATTTGGGATTTGAATCCCTTTTCCAGCACTCATTTAATCTAAAAATTTAATCCATCTGTATAGGGGGGCTTCTTATACAGCATCACTAAGCAGAACTATTTCTGCTTTATGAAGACAGAGAGACATTCAAGGACAAATCTATGACTTAAGCCAGTTCCTTTCACATTTGCACAATGTTCAGTGTACTGGACACCAATCATTTGAAGGAAATTTCCTCTTCGGGCTGCCCACAATTTGGGGTCTTCTCATCCAGTTGACTGGCACCTGGGCCATATTGTGGGCTTAAATCATGATGCCATGTGAACAGGAGCAGAAATAACCCACAGTTCTCTAATTAGCCTCATTAATTCATTACTTGTGAGAGCTCCTAAATTCACTGGCCCTATGATAGATTTTAGAAAATAAAATGTGCATCCCAAGCCAGAGGCAAGGACGTATAAGAGAGCAATGTTCATGAGATGATCTTCAGATCCAGCAGCAAATATTTCTGTTTAAGCATTTAATACTTTTTTTTAGTACTCCAGATCATTTTTCTTCAAATGATTATGGTTGTACTGTGTGATAAATAAGACTCTGCCTGAAGATACCAGAGGGCATGTGGCACCAGAATAAAATCTCTGAAACATATTTTGAGTGGTGATCGCACCATTTCTAGCTCACCATATGGCTTAGTGCAGATGTCCTAGCATTAAAATGACCTTTTTTATTGCGTAAAGGTCACAGATGCAGAATTCAACATTTTGTAACCCTTGGCAGAGGTACAGTCTATGAAGGGAGTACACCTGTTGCCTTGTCCACAGTTCAGAACACTGTCACCCAATAGTTGACTAAAATACAGGGACTGAAATATATCTTCTATTGCTGTTGGTAATATTAGTTAATAAACTTAGATGTTATTAAACAGTTCAGTGTGCTGAGATTAACAAATAAAAATGTTAACATACTAGAATCATTTTCTACATAGGTTTTACTTTGGTAGTCCTAGTAACAAGAAGCATCACATGCTGCTTCTGAATCTCTGTCAATGCTCATTATGGGCCCATACTGAACCCTAACAAAGTAAAAGGAAACATTCCCCTTGGAGGAATCTGACTTTGGATCAGTATCCCAAATAATATCAAATTCCAGATTGACTTTAAATGGCTTCTGCTTCCCCAACCCTCCCACACCTTTGCAATACATTGAGGGAAGGAGAAAAGCTGACACTGTTGTAATATCCTTTGCTCATTTAAAAGCAATGCTTTTAGATCTAGTCCAACTGATTGACCATTTCAGGGCTGACCAAAAGTTAAAGCATGCTATTAAGAGTATTGTCCAAATGCCTCTTAACCACTGACAGGCTTGGGACATTAACTGCCCCTCTAGCAAGCCTCTTCACGTGTTGGACCACCCTCTTGGTAAAGAAATGTTTCCTAAACTGTGCTTGACATCATTCTTTCCAGCTGATCATCCAAAAGTGCTATTACATAGCCACTGCAAATTCAGTAGTCCTTTTGGAAGATTTCACAAGTACAATGCTAATATATTCAGGAACATCTCAAAATCATGTTCTGTTTATCTTCCTTAGCAGTGAGCTATCATGAAAGCTAGTGATTAGTTTGTTTAGAATATAACCAAAAAATGCTCCCTGGCAACCTAATTGAACTAGGAACATCTGATGTGGGAGTATTTCATTAAAAAGGGATACCAACCACTGATCTGGGATGTGACCTTTTTTTGATTATTAATAAAAAAATCCTAAGGCATATGAAAAGTTGACCAAAAAAACTCCTAAGACTGTATTTTATTCCCACAGGTAAGGGACAAAAAGAAGTGAAAAGGTACAGAAGGTAAGGTACATGATGCTCAGTGAGATTGGCACAGCATTATGAAGCATCTAATTTCAGCTGCCAAAGGGGCTCATATTGATTTTTTTTTTTTCCATTCTCTGTGTGTGCTTTTATAGAGACTTGAAATAGAGTCTCCATTTTGCTCTTATGAAAACCACGTTTCTTGGAGGGCAGTATGGGGGAAGGAAAAGAATAGTTCTTTCTGCTTGAAAAAACAGCAACCTACGTAGCACTTACCAGAGGATTATATACCCTAATGTTCTGAGAGGTGACGGTTCAGGTACATAGTGGGGAGCTGGATGCCTTGGGAATATTTAGAAGAATTATTTAAATCCATGCAGGCTGCTATGTGTTTTCCCATTTGTGCATTGTGAGAGAGATCTCCAGATTCCAGACATCCTTTTTGGAGCTGTAAAACTTAAATTAAAAGCAAAGAACACAGAGCAATTCAGAAATACCTCCATTTGCAGATCATAACTGAAGTTATTGAAAAGATTATTACAAAGAAAATATTCTTTCTTCAGGGATGCCCAGCAGCTACAGTCTGACTCCTTGACGTT